AGTGTATTAATATAATAATCTAATTAATATATTTGTATAGATTCGTGGTTGTGTCAAAGCCATACATATATCGCCAAAGTGGCGTCAAATGTTTGTTGATGCTTGTGAATATGAATCGGTTAGAGTTAAAATTCCACCCTTGAATTGTGAGACCAGGTGGAATTCTACATTCTTGATGTTACAATTAGCAATAGAGTTAAAAGCTGTAATTATTAGATTGAACGATAAAGATCGAACTTTTCCAGATATGCCTAGTGAAGAAGAATGGGAGAAAGTGAGATCTCTTTGTAGCATTTTAAAACTATTTTACGAATGTAAGTATTAACTAAAGTTAGCTTTTTATATTAGTTTTTTTTATGATTTTTAAAATATTTTTTTAATATTAATAGGTACTTTAAAAATGTCATCAAATTTTTATCCAACAATTAATAGTACCCTTTTTTCTATCTTGGATATTCGCACACATCTTTTTAAAATGAAATCTCATTTAGACATTTTTGTTCGTGAAATTAGCTTACCTATGATCGAAAAATTTAACAAATATTGGAAAAATAATAGCTTACTACATATGATTATATGTATTCTTGACCCCTGATATAAATTACAGTTTATATCGTTTTATTATCATAAAAAAGAAGGGTATAAATTAGACTATGTTGAAGAAAAAGTGCAAGAAATTCGAGCAAGGTAAATTATTGCTAATTTGTATTTTATTATCAACTCGTTAATAACTCATATTTTTAATTTAGCTTTGAAAGCATATATCTTAATAATTATTATTCTCTATCAGCCGTTGAACGATATTCAACTAGTATTGAAAGCAGTATTGCTTGTACTAACAATAATAAAGATCGAATTGATAATTATTATAAATATATAACAAAAAAGAATTAAGCCAGCCGACCAGATACTCTTTATGGAGTTAGGCGATATCTTGATGAGCCAGTTGCTAGTAGAAATACTGATGTTCTTGAATGGTGGAAAAATAATGATCAGTTTCTATCTTTAACTAAAATGGTGCGTGATTTTCTTGCTATACCAGCTACAAGTGTAGCATCTGAGCAAATGTTTAGTTGTGCTGGGCGTATAGTCGATGATTATCGTACTTCTTTAGATCCAGAAACAGTAACTGCACTAATGTGTCAACGAAACTGGTTAGAGATGGCAGCAAGATTTGGGTGGGATTTGTAAGTTGTTAAAAATAGAAATTTGTAATCTTAGCAACTTGTGTATATAATATAATAAAGCAATAAAATTGAAACGATTTGCTGGTATATGATTTTTTTTAGTTTTATAACATAATTTTATAATTTTGTAAACCGCATAT